TAACAACAACAACAACATCCCATAATTATGAGTACCATGTGACTTCCAAAGCTAGATCATTTTATGTGGCCACTGGCACACAATGCTATGAAAGAGATGGTTGGTGTCAGAGTTGGTAAAGGTTGGAGGGCAGAAGCATGTCTTGATTTCTGTCTCACAGATACCAGCCTTTGGCTGATGCTTGATCGTCCTTCCCACCCCCTGTGAAGTCAGAGGAGGTTAGACACCAACCTCACAGCATTTTTATAACATACTTCCTCATTTTCTATTTGTGGGAATTCTTCAAGCTTTCCCCTCCTATTTTCCCATCCTTATCCCCAAATTCAGGATGTTATTTTTTATTGCACTATAATTTCATTCCTACACTCTTCTCTATTGTCTTGCAATGTGCTCAATGAAGTCATGGTGTAGTACTGGCTTTACCAAATTCAAATGGAGAATGATAAAGACAAGATTCCAGGATGCCACCCCTGAATATATAATCTAGATAGTCAAACTGAAATTCAGGAAGCTGTTATTTTATTTATTTATTTTAAACAGATACCCTGGAAAATCTGGATCAATTTGAGAATGGCTAGTTCACAGCTGTCTGAGTTCTAGTGTGGCACTAGGATAAGCATTGGACTGCTAACCACAAGGCAGTGGTTCAAACCCACCAGCACTATTTGGAAACCCTACACAGGGCCGCTATGAGTTGGAACTGACCCAACGGCATGTAACAAAGTAGTTGGGTGTGACAGACAAGCACACATGACCTCCTTCCATACAGGTTACTCACCACACCACTGGGAAAAGGATGGCTCCACAGCAGAGCAGGTCAACCAGAAACAAAGAATCCTTCCACAAGCCATACTCAGTAGTTCCCTCCTCAGTAGACTCTATGATGATATAGGCCACATTTGCCAGAACCTGTGGGATATGAGAAGTCACTGAGGCCCAAAGGCACGGATAGATTGTTCAAGAGCAGCAGTCCCAATAGAGCGTAGACACCTTGGCCTACAGGCCGCCATCTTGGACCCACATGTTCTTCCAGAACAGTGTCATTCTCCTATCAAGTACAGTCTCTGGGCCTTCCTTTCAATCTGGACGAGTTTGTGACTGCTCTGATCAAGTAGTACCATGTGATTCCCAAAGATAGGTCATAAAAAGGACTTGGCTCTCTCTTGGGAGGCACATCTTTAGAGCCCTGAGGCACCTTCTTATAAGAAGTCTGGACCCTGATGTTGTTATGCTGCAGAGATCAGCAGAGAAACCATGAGTAGAAAGAGAGATCAGCCCCCACCTGATCAAATCTTTCCAGGTCAGGAGAAATGCAAATGAAGAAGCCTTAAACATGACCCCCAACTCCAGCCACTGCCTAATTCAACCTAAGGTAGACCCACATAGTTAAACCACTCCCAAGTTCCTGACTCAATTTACTGTGAGAGAGAATAAATGGCTATTACTGTGTTAAGGCACTAAATTTTGGGGTGATTCATTGTGCAAGAGGTAACTGGAACATTATACTTTGGTTTCTAGGCACCCTAGGCATCAGTGGTATCACTTAGGTGCTGAACAGGTAGCACTCATTTGTCCACAATGCCCACACTCCTCGAGTCCATTATCTCTTTGTAGGTACCTCTGGTTTTCAGTGAAAATAACACTTATAAAGTGTCAGTTAATGGGGATGTGGTATCAGAGATCAAAGCGGCAAAAATTGCAAATGACACCCTAGAGACAGAGCGGCTTCTATAGGAATAACTCAAGTCCAGTGTACCATAAACAGGACATGGCTTACTTAGCTCTTCCCACCGAAGCGCATCCATGTCCACTTATTACTTCTATTTCTAATTTAAGGTTTTGCCATGTGTGTTTAGCATGTGCTAAGAAGTCTTTCCACTGATAACAGTAAAAAACCAATGCTACTGAGACATTATGAAAATTCACAATTCATAACACATTCTTTTGAAGATTTCCATTAGGTATGGATGCAGAGGTTTAAATTCCACATGTATATACCCCATAAGAGGTCCACAGTCCCAGTATTCTGCCTGACTTGCTGCACGAATGTAAAATCTGTTATGCTATCATTTGGATAGTCTAAGTGTGATTGTTCTTTCTATATAGGACTTGTATACTGAGTTATCACAGAAGCCATATTTTCCTTAATAAAGATGTAAACATTATTTGGAAAGCTCAGTGTCCTCACCGGCACTTGGCTTATGGGTTCTTCTCTAGCCCAAGTTTCTCCTGAGGCCCCTTGTACAAAGACCGAAGCTTTCACAAAGTAAACTCATATTTCTATTCTCTCCTTAATTCACACTCTTTACATGAGAGACAAAATGTTCCTAGAGGTGTTGGTGATGAGCCATGTGCTAATAGTGTTCTTGAAACAACATTCTGTACATCACTGACTCCTTTCTTACTCAGAAACTTTCAGCAGCTCCCCATGGTCAAAATAAAGCAGTTTTAATTTTTAAGACTGACATTCAAGATGTTCCCAGACTAATCCCTATATTTAAATACATGTAACTTTCTTAGCTGGACTCCTGCTATGACACTGTAGGATCAGCACTGGACTGTGAACCACAGGTTGACAGTTCAAACCCACCAGCTACTCCTCGGAAACCCTGTACAGGGTCTCTATGAGTTGGAACCGACTTGGTGGCACTTAACAACAAACAGCAGCAACTTCCTTGTATTTAATGTCTTTGTTTTCTCAGTGATCTGCTGTGTAACCTTGTGTGTTTATCTTTTGAGGGAGCAAAAGGAGGGAAAGCTAAGAAAACTGTGGACATTATATACATCATATTTATGCCAAAAGGAAGGAGACTCAAAACAGAGTGGATGAAAGTCCCTGTGTGGCAAAGGAGGTCTGTGCTTGGCTAGTAAACAAAAAGTTGGCAGTTTGAAACACACAATAGCATGGTGGAAAAACCACACCTGGTGATCAGTTTCTGAAAAGATTACAGCCAAGCCTACGCTATAGCCAACGAAGTTTCTACAAATGAACACATTGAAAAAAAAAAAAAAAAGAACATCTCAAAACAGAATGGATGGATGGTGGCTGTTGTTAAGTGCCGTCAAATTGATTCCAACTCATAGCAACTCTGTGAGGAGTAGCTGGTAAGTTTGAATCACTGACCTTGCAATTCAAACTGACCTTGTGGTCCATTGTTTATCATACAAAGCCACACCAGGACTCCAGAATGGATGACAGCAGCTACTAAAGACAAGGGAAAACAGGAAAGCAGTATGACAAAAGGGAAGAATACCCAGGTCTAATTCAAATGCTCTGAGACCTTGGCAGGCTATAGGGACTGGGCCCAGGCAAAAAAAAAACTCCCGGTAGCTCAACAGTCAAAAGACCAGTGTACTTCCTCAACAGCTTTTATGTAACAGACAGTAGTATTACATGATTCTATTGCAAATCCTTTGCCTCTGTCATATTCCTTTCTTTAAATATCAAATAAAGGCTTATCTCAGCTATAAAGGCTTTCCAGATCATTCTAACTAGGGGTTACTACTAGCTCCTTGGATACCTGAACCTATAACAACTGGTCTGTAACATTGATTTGGCATTAACAAAACTGACATTGAATGTTGAGGGTGGCTTGCTGCCACTATTACCAAGCACCAGTGCTGATCTGAGTGCCTTGGGAGTTGTCCCCTTCCTCTCCTACTTGCCACCTTCACACCACACTCCAAAATGTGAGCTCAGTTAACGAAAGCAACTTCATCACACAGATATTGGTCTAGCAGACTAAAGCAGTTGTGTATGCCTGCTAAAAGTCCAGATTCTGCCTCCTGTATGACAAGTAAATGTAAGACAAACAAGGTTTCTTTCCCAAGGGGCTTACAACCTTGAAAGCTGCCCTCAGCCCAGGACCCGAAGGGTTTAGTAAATATTTGGCCACAATGTCTACTACTATATTCTACCCTGTGGAAATTCACTGGTTATCATTCACAATTTTAAAACAATTTGTTATTAAAATCACTATGTACTTAAAATGCTTCATTCAGTGTCATTTTGTTATAAGACAAACTGATGCAGAAGAAAAGATGAAATATTTCCCTAACTTTTTAGGAGTTTTCTATTCAAAGTCAAAGCTTCCATGTGCCTATTTAAAGAAGACTGAAGGATCAAGCATTGCCCAGTATAATGACCTGCCATCTAAGTTTTGTCAGTATGGGGTTGACATGAACTTTATTCAAAGAATGTGGTCATTGTCCTCGATTTCTGAAAGACAAGTTCTAAAAGCAAAAAACCTGACATTCTCGTGTTTTGGTAAGGACTCCAGGCCACATCTAATTAGCAGGTTATGAGGTTACTGGGCATTGGGGCTGGTCAGGTGAGAACGACCTGCTGTGTCACCTCAGGATACCCACCAATCTCAGGGTAAAAGGGCTGGAGTTTGTATTACAAATGAGACCCCCCCCCGCCCCCATTAAATCACTGGACACTGAGTCTCCATAAGCTTTCTGGTTGGCAAAAGATATCTGCTCATAGGAGGGTACCACACCTTCTTTGGGACACAGAAGTTTCACTTTGGGAAACCTCCCAGGCCTTGTCCTATACAGCTCTTTGTATGTATCCTTTTTTACTATAATAAAACTGCAATTATTAGAATAGGATGTTCCATGAGTCCTGTGAGTTGTTCTAGCAATTACTGAGCAGTGAGAGCCGGCAGGTCAGATGAGGGGTGGGAGTGCGGACTGAGGAACCCCTTGGCTTATTGAATTTGGAGGCAGCAAGTCAGAAGCAAGGGTGTTGTGGCACTGTGGAGCCTCCCAGGCTTACTTACAGTCTACTTGTCAATCTAGAGGACTGTGTCCTTTAACTTATAAGATCTGACCTAGCTCTGGGTGATTAGGGTCAGAGGAAGAAGTGTTGCATGGGCAGCTGGTGTCAGAACAGAAGTAGAAGAAGCAGATTTTATTTTTATTCACACAGTCATAATTCTAGAAAGTGTTAAATTCTAAATGGCCGAAGCTGGATTTCTGGGATTGGGTGGGAAATTGACACCCTCTTCCCAGAGGCATGGAGCTAAGCCCTGTTGAGTGTCAAGAGAGGACACAGGACAAACAGGATTAGGGTTGCTTTACCTGGAGTGGGATGACAATCATGAAGATCTTTTTATCTTTATCAGAAAGGATGTGTTTAATGAAAGCCCAGCCGGTGCCAATGAGTGCAATGGTGATGAACAGTAGTGCCCCTTTCAAGCTGGAAAAGAAAAAATTAACAGGTAACAACAGGTTTCTTCAGACAATCTCTCAGCCAGTTAGATTATGGAGCTTATTCTAGGGCTTCACATGCTTCCTGCAAAAGACAAGCAGTCAAATTCAGAAAAATCATCTTAAGTGAACAACTTGTTCTTTCCTGCCAGCAAATAGCTAGCTACACACTTCAATACCTAAGCAGTCAACCATTTCAGGCAGGTAGGCAGACAGGTAGGTAGGCAGCCACACCCAAGAGCGTGCTAGCAGTCCCAAGTTCTCAAGTCTGGACAGTCAACTGTATGTCCCACATCTTTAGTGTGGAAGGGACCCAGATAATCTGCCAAGGGGGGTGGAGCCATCAACTGTGTCTTTTTCTACTATAGTTTGCCCAACTGTTCCCGTGCATCATTTCATAGCATGAGTCCTCCGCATGTCATCTTGCATACTCACAGGTGAGTGATGTAGTACACGACTGCCCAACCTTCAATCGGGAAGCCCTGGGATGAGATGTAGTGGTAGTCGATCTGAAATCAAGCAACTGCGTTTCAGAGATGGTAGTCCACCACGTTTCTTAGCACCCAGTGAAACAGCAAATTGTACCCGTACCCGAGGAACCTATGATAGGGGGTGTTCACCCTCCATTCCACAGTGAAGTACGGGAGTACAATAACAAGACATGAAAGTCTGGACAAAAGGTTTGAATGTCACTGATACCTTGCCTAGGTTCATTCTTGAAAATAATTGCCTTTTCTTTTTTTTCCCCCCCAATTTCCAAGGTCCAAATCACACATCTTTTCAATATCCCAAACAAGAACTTCATCAATCAACTACTGCTGCTTACATAATTAAACAAGTCAGTTAGTGAGCAATTAAAAGTCTATGTGGATTATCCAGCTTCAATTTTTTTTTCATTAAAAAACAACAACAAACAAACAGAATTTTGAGGCTGCTAACGCATTTTAATTGAAGTGCCATGTTTTAGTAGTACAACCAAAATGTTTCCTGGCAGAACACAAAACTGTGAAATCAATCTCTTTACATATCTTTCATTCGATAACAAATGACTATCTAGATATTATAGTAAGTCAAAGAACTTCTTTTCATTATATGGTTCCAGAAAGAAATCTTTTAACTTGGATCCAAATGGGAAATTATCCAAACAACTGTCATTTCTTGAATTTGTAACTGGATATATTATTGCTTTTTCCTATGACAATATTTTTTAATGCAGGGAAGAGAGCCCCCATGTACAGACTGCCACCCTCACAAGTATGGCTCATGGGGACCAGCTAGGTCCACAAACTGAAAAAACTGTAATGTTACCCCTAGAGGTAAATTCATTTCAATTTCCATCAGTACTAGATATTGAAAGCTTTAGCTCAATTCTTACACCTCAATCTCTAAAGTATTACTTTGCTCTCAAATAAGTCTGAAACTTCAAATCAAATGGGAATATGAGGGAATATTTGAAAAATTACAACAAGTAGTGGAAACAACTCAACAGGTGGCACTCTAATCTCAAAACACGTGTTCTAAAAAAGTTCTGTGCTTTTAAGGTAATAGAAGATGTCTTGAGTCTAGTGCTGATGGATATTGGGATCATTTATCCCCTGTGACCACCCATAACTGCAGACAAAAGGAAGGCATCATGAGTATTTCTTCATCTTTTGTTTCTAATTCATCTATCCCCTTTCTTTTAATATACTTTTCCTGGTCACATAAGCATTGTACACCATTTCATACATCACCCCGCTTAAAAAAATGCTAATACATACTGCATGGAACACCAAGGAAAGAGACTTGGTGAAAGGAAGGGCTGCCATCAACCAGTGAATTTTAAACACATCATTCCTATAAAAACAGAGAGAAAAGACTTAAGGAATATTCCATTTTCTCAAAGGAGAGCAGAAGCTCCACGTATGGGATCTATTTATAAGGGGCAATAAACAAAATGTAAGCAAATCACACACAGGTAGGTTTTTTTGTTTTGTTTTGTTCTGTAAAGTAGAACTAGAATCCTAAAGTCACCTTTAATACAACATTTACTGCTATTAATGGAATCAAGAGTTATGCATGTCCAACATGATGAGTTCTGAGTTCTAACAAGATGGAAATCTAACACAGGCTGCGGGCTTCTTTCCCAGAAATCACCCTGGACAGAACACAGAGGTAAAAATGAAGTGAACAGATCTAAGAAAATGGCACTAAATCTCCAGGAAAGCAGAGGTGACTAGTACAGCTATAAAAAAAAAAAGGCTGCAGCCCAGAGTATAAGGCAGGAAGCCAGGCACCAGAAATAGGCTAGGGAAAAGCAATGGGGGTGTCTGAACTCCTTTCTCTCCATCTCATGATGGGTATCTATCAAACACACCCAGCCAGTGGGGTACCCATTCCCATCTCCAGGTCTCAATAGGGAGGCGCAACACAGGCATTAGTCTACCCTTTAGGCAGACTAGTATTAAATTCTTTTACCATCTCTTCTCCCTCCCTCTAAGGAATATCTAATAGAAGACAATAAGACCATTATGAAGAAAACTTTTACACACTATTAAAGTACATACATGAACACTTAAAGCCACAGGGGAACACTCACATGCTATTTCTACAAAGAAACAGTAGTTTAAAAAAGTACAACAGGAGCAGCATCAGACAAAATGACCAATGGGATAGATTAGGAGGCTCAGGAATAGATTCATGCTTATATGGAAACTTGATAATATGATACAATGACACAATCAGTAGGTCATAATTTAACAGTATTTTAAAGTATATTTTTAAAGTATAGCTCAAAATTTAAATTTTACATTTTAAAGTACAGTTCAAAATAAAAATCTTTGACTTACCACTATTGTCTATCTTATTATTTGACATTCTACGCAATAGGAAAAAAATCTACCCATCCAACTACTTTGTACATTAGCGAGGAAGAAAGCATGGTGACAACTGCTGTGGAGCTTTACCTCCCTTAAGGAAGGTCATCTAGTGGCCTCAGGGAAGCTGGTCAGGGCTTCATGGCCTCTTGCCTTAGGGAGCACTCACATCCCTCTTCCATGGTCACAGCCTCCAGGCAGATGCACATGCAGCACCCAGTCAGCAGGGAGCCTCCATTTTTGTCATAGCCACATAGTCTTTGTAAACAGGCATGTTGATAATTGAGGAGTGGGTATAAATTAAAACACCAAAAGGATGAGTCTCTATTTACACTTACATAAAGGGAACTCCCAAGGATGCAGTATCTAAATGTAAACTAAACATTTGTGATCTTGAAGCAGGAAAGGGCTTTAAGATTCAAAAGGTACCAATTAATTTACAAGATTAAAATTAGGTTGCTGAGACTCAATTAAAATGAAAGATTGTCTTTCAATAATGAACACCACAGACAAATTTAACAGACTGGGAGAACAAACTACAATGACTAAAACAGACAAAGGCTTGATATCCCAAAGATAAAAAAAACTCATGCAAAGCAACAAGAATAAGAAAACCCAACAGAAAAATATGCAAAGAATATAAAGAGGCAGTCACAAGAGGGGAACCCCATCAACAAGCTGAAGAACACTCAAATAATTATATTAATAGATGCAGGAAGTGTTTTTGACAAAATGCAGCTCAGGATAATAACTCAGTAAAATAAAAATAAAAGGGAACTTCAACTAGATATAAATAATCTACAAAAAACCCCTATAGCTAATAGCATACTTAATGGTGAGAAACTAGTTTGTTTCTCCTTAAGATCGGGAACAAGGCACGGATGTTCCCCCTCACAACTCCTATTCAATATGGTTCTAGAAGTCATAGCTAATGCACTAAGACAAGAAATGTAAAGTACAGGCATATAGATGGGAAGAAGAAATAAAAAAATCTTTGTCTATGTAGAAAATCACAAAGAACTGACAAAATAATTTCTGGAACTAATAAGGAATCCTAGCAAGGCTGCAAGAAATAAGATTAATATACAAAAGTCAATGCTTTCCATATACATCAACAATGGACTATTGGAATGTGAAATTATAAAACAGAACACCATTTACACTACCACCATAAAATGTAAATACTTAGGTGTAATTTAACAAAACACATACAAGATCTAGATGACGAAAACTACAAAATTCTGAAGAAAGAAACCAAAGATCTAAATAAATGCAGAGATATTCCATGTTCATGGTCAGGAAGACTCAATATTGTTAAGATGTCAGACAGTTCTTCTCAACTTGATCTATAAAGTTGATGCAATCCCAATAAAAATCTCAGCAAGCTATCTTCCAGATATTGACAAACTATTTTTAAAGACACACAACCTATAAGAGTCAATGTACTAACAGGAACCAGACAAGGATGCCCTCTGTCACCGCTCCTATTCAATATTGTGCTGGAAGTCTTAGCAAGAGCTATATGGCAAGACAGGGAAATTAAAGGCATCCAAATTGGCAAAAGGAAGTAAAACTCTCCCTATTTGCAG